TTGCATGTGAAATCAATGACACTGTTCTGTAGTTTCCACACTCAGTTGGGTCACCTTTCTTTGGAATGGGAACAAATATAGATCTCTTCCAGTCAGTAGCATATGGTTAAGCATGTCAAAAGGCTGGGAGTTCAAACCTCTTGTTGCCTCAGAAGACAGGCCTAGTGATGTGTTTTTTAAATGCCTTGAAAATCTTAGGAAGTGGTTCTATACTTTACGTATGAGGTTGCCATGGGTCAGAATTGGGTTGACTCTGTAAAAACAAGAGCCGTGTGGGTCTGGCCATGTCTGACTTTTGTCAACCTCACAAAGGGGAACTGTCACTATCAACAGTACCAATAGCACAAAACCAATTCCCATGTCCCCCACGCTCCTGTACCTCTTTCTACTCATCTCACATCAATCTTAATACTTTACTGGGTCCAAAATCTCAGGCTATAACTCAAAGGCCATAAAGAAACAGATGGGTAAGTTAAAAATTTATAACCTAGACTTCAACAGAATACAGTCAAGACAGCTCCTGAAATTTGTATGCAGACTCATTACCCTTCAGCCTCACAGCTTTAGGCCAGTGTTCTCAAGTTCTTAGTCCTGAAATAATGGCTCTACTCACCCCACCCCCTCAAGGTCCCATCTCATGTCAGTTTTCCAGATCAGCCATAGGTGTTACTGTCATAGATGTTGCTGGCGTAGGGATAGGTGAAGCAAGCAGGGTGCTCTACATTGCCTTGCTTCCTATTCAATGGTGCCAGGAGAACTGCCTGCCTCTCATTGGTGGCTTGCTCAATTCAGTGGTCAAACTAGCCAATTCCTTTGTATATTATTGAGACTGGCCAATCCCGATGTGGAATGGTAGGTAGCCAATATTCTTAAGGATAGGCTAGCATGCTCCACTCACATATTTCTGCCCATCTACACAGCAAAGTCAAAAAATGGCAAGGAAAAGTCATATTGAAAGACAATCTTCACAGACTGCAACAAGGGTAATGTCCTTATTGTGACTTTTTTTTTTGAGGGGGGGAAAGTACATTATATATAATCAAATACCATTTAGTTTTAATTTCCATCAGGTACACATTCAGCAACATTACTCCTGTTAGGATCTTCAAAATCTTCTCTTAAATCGGCAAAGCTGTCTTCTCTGACTGGAGAAGGGATGGAAATCCCCATTGCTTTTCAAACTCCGTACATGCTGACAATGTCACTGGGGGTAACTTGCTGTGCAAGCTCTTTAAGATTATTAGTCACTTGCTCAGCAAGGTGCATTTCTTTGTATGAGGGACCCAAAAGACAGATCATGTTGGGTGGGGGTCTGGTGCTCAGACGTTCGTTTTGGGCTTCCTGGAGTTCCCGAAGCAATTTGGTGGTCTCATCAAGTTTCCTCTGGAACACTTCAGCTTCTCTGGAGCTAAAGATTTCAACTGGCCAGCTAAAGTTTGTGACCACTTTCAGTGCTGTGAACCTGTCCTGGTTACTGCTGTCCAAATGCTCTGTGGCCTCTATTTCCATAACCGCCTCGGTATCTTTTATTGGTCAGGTGTTCTGGTCTGGCCTTCATCTTCAGGTAATGACGTCTCTAGCTCTTGTAGGGTCTTAGAATGTTCTCCTTTTGTTAAAACATCCAATAAACTATCTGCCATAACATATGGATAATCCTGACATGTGGCTAAAAACTCATGGAGGCTGAAATCACTCGGAAGATCATAGTCTTCCCCATAGGTTGAATAGATTAAATCAGAATCATCCTTGCTGATATTTGCAAATGTGGAGTCATAATGTGGTGCGTAAGAACTGTAAGGCCCAAAATTCAAGTATAACACTGGATTTACTTTGTTCCTTTTATCTTCTTAGAAGCCCTGCAAAGTATTCACTCCAGACTGAAGTCTTCCAGTGGTCATTCCCAGTCTCACAGGGCAGTAGCCTGGTTCGCCCACAACAGGATCCACAGGATGGAGAAGGCCCAGTGTGGTGGTTCCGTCTGGTTTTCTTCTTTCAAATTCACACTGACTGTTAACCAGCCGCCTGGTCAGCTTTCCTCCAGATTCCTTAACAACGCAGTCTTTTTTTAAGTGATTATTTTTTAATTTCTCTTCAATCATTTCTTTATCTTTCCTTTTATTTTCCTTGTTGGGGCTTTTGATAGCCTGAGCCTCGGCAGCTCTGAAGTCATCCTTCTCCCTTGACCACGAACCACTGTCTTCTCCGTTCTGCGAGAAGTCTGATCTTCTAGTTTTCGAGTCTTCTGCAAATCTGCCATGAATTCTATGCTCTGCTTTAGGCTCTGGATTCTTTCCTGGCTAAGAATTTTCATCCCTGAGTGTAATAACTTCTTTGTAGCTTTATAATAAATGGTTTCTGGCTTGTTGTAAATCATGGCATTAGTACACATTAGTTTAAAATTATCTTTAAGTTCTTCTATAGATGGTAGTCATTGTTCTTAATCTTTTCTTTCATGGTTATAAAATCCATTGGATGTTTAATGATCATGGAGTAGCCAGGAGCAATAAAATCAGTCACAGGAAATGAAAAGAAAGCACTTGGGTCTTTTCTTTGCAATTGACTCATTAGTTGATTCAAAGCTTCCTGAAGAGGTGTCTGTTCTACTTCTTCCTGTTTGGCGAAAGAACTTTCCAGAGGCTTCTCAGGAGGCAAGTCTAGTCTAGCAGGGATCTGACAATGGAGCTCTTTTTCTGTGTCATTCTCCACATGGTCTCGATCCTGTTTCTTCTTGTCCTCCATTCTCCTCCGTTTCCTCCCCTTTTCTTCCCCGGGAACTTGCTTCTCTCCCTTCTTTCTCTTTTTCCGCTTTCTCTCCTTGTGTTTGTCATGATCGTTCCTGTCTTCGAAGAGGCTGGAGTCGTGCCCTGAGCTGCCGGTGGAGAGTTCGGTGACTTCGTTCCCTCTCACTTTGAGGACCAGCTTCAAGGGTTTCTCAACATACTCTTCGTACAGGTGTTTGTCCTACTTGTGCTTCTTGCCCATGTCCGATCAGGCCCCAGAGCCCGCCCCCCCGCGCCAGGCCCAGGCCTTGCGGCGCCGCTTCTGGTCCGGGCCAGGCAAGCGGAGGGCGGGAGCGGGGCAGGACTCCCCCGAAGAATTTTTTTTTTTTTTTATGCTTGTGTGTCAATAGCAAACTGATGAAGATCAAAGCCACCTAGTGCTTTTGGCTACTTCAAAGAGCCTTTTGATTAAAGGAAGGAGCAAAATTATCCTCATTTCCCGAGGCCATATATATCGAAGACTCCAGTGACTAAGTTGTACTCTTTATCAAGTGGTGCTTGCCTGTTCCTAGTTTGGTGCTAAGTTTGTTGTTCTATTCTTTGCCTAAGAGTATAGATTATTGTTCCTTCCTCCTCCTTCTTTCATTTAACATGATTCAAAGGGATATTTGAGCTGGCCCCTTATAAATCTTGCTTTTCTCTGATGCAGTGCCAACTAATCCATGAGATTAATACTATGACATCACTTTTTGCTTTGGGTTACAGGTTTAGAAGAATAGAGCACTTTTTCTTAGAAGCTCAATATCATTTGGATGTTATTGACCTAATTGTCTCTTGGTCAACAGGTCCTTCAACTGCAGATGCCACTTTGAGGTAAGAATAACTTGATCATGGTGCTCATTTACTCAACCAAGAATAACAGGTTTCTTAGAGCTGTAAGTCTGTGTTATTGTTGTATGACTGTGTAACCGCCGGCTGAAACCGACCTGCGGGTTCATACGTGTTCTAGAGTGGAACCTGTGCGGATTAAAAGAGCAGCAGGGACACGAGAGATTGGGGCAAGACAAAGGTTCCTGATCAAGCCCAAATGTATTTGATGAATTCTGCTATAAATAGGCAGCGGAGTAGGCCAGGCTGCCAGGGAACCCAGCCCTAGGTTATCAGTTTACAAAAGAGAGGGAGGGGCATGCCCCAAGGTGTTGATTTACAGGTGCTGATTTAAGAGGTAGGCATAGTCCCAGAGATGGACAGGGGTGGCAGCTGCATATCAAAAAGTGTTATCAGTGGCAGAGTTAAGATCTACTCAGGATGGCTTCCTACATGAATGTATTCTAACTCACAGCAAACAGGACTGCTCCACAGTAATTTGTAGATTGTAATCTTTATAGAAGCAAATTTCCAAGTCTTTTCTCCTTTAGAGTAGCTGTTTCTATTATTGTTATGTGCCATCAAGTTGGAACCAACTCTTAGCAGCTGATCCTCCAACAGATTTTCAGAGACTGTAAATTGCACAAGAAATGATTGCTCATCTTTCTTTAGAGCAGCTGGTGGCTTCAAACTGAGTGCCTTTGGGTTGACAGTGGAACTCCTTACCCCTAAGCCACCAAAGCATGTCCTTCATAGTTATTATTTGAGCATTTAATCATTGTGCTACTAATACTATAGCTCTTCTCATTGTTTTACATCTTATTTTCTTTACTTCGTTTTCTTTTAGCCTTTTCCAACTTATTCTCTAAGGTTACCACTTTCATTCTCTTTTATCCTGTTTCTTAGTTCTGGTTTAAATCAATTCTCTTCTAGCTTGATCCTATAGTATGATTGTTCTTCTATCATTACATGATATGCTCTGTAGCTACTAATAAAATGCAAGAGACTCCATCTGTTACCTTCTATTTAATCTTTCCCTTTTACTATCTAAAAGTTTCCCCAACATATTATTATGACAAGGAGGCCATCGCTGAGCAATGTGCATAGTATCTTATGGTGTGTGGAGAATATAATGCTTCAGAGATGAGTAGGAACTATTAGAATACAATGACATTCTGACTGAACCCTATTGCAAAGCATATTCTTTAAAACACTCCAAAATTTTCCTATAGTCATAGCTTAGAGATATGTAGCATGTTGTCTAACTATGCATCAAGATCAACTTTACTTTCTTTTTTTTTGCTTTTATTTTTTTTAATTTAGTTTGTTTATTTTTCATTTCAATGAACATCTACAGAGATTTTGTAATTCCATTCATTCATAGATGCACCCTTCTCCCCGCACACCCCCCTCTCCCATCCCCCCCCCTTTGCTCCTCTCCTTGAAAAGCAAAAGAAAAACTCCCTCATTGGTACACAATCCCCCTGTACTTCCCCAAGCCCCACCCCCCACCCCCAAATATAATCCACTCTGCAACCCTCATTGCGTACTCCTACGATAAAAATAATGCCCTAAAATATAATACTTTTAGACTATTCTCTCCCCCATAGACTTCAATGCCGTAAACATATTTCATCCAGTTTTTCTCAGTCTTACCCCCACCCCAATGCCAGCCTCATTCTACAACAGTGGCACCATATAGCATTTGTCCCTTTGTGACTGAGATACCTCACTCAGCATAATGTCCTCCAGGGTCACCCATTTTGCATAATATTGCATGAGTTCCTTGTTTTTCAATGCAGCATAGTATTCCATTGTGCGAATATACCACAGCTTCTCTACTCATTCGTTTGTTGATGGGCATTTAGGTTGTTTCCAACTCCTTGCTATTGTAAATAATGCCACGATAAACATGGGTATGCATATATCTACTTGGATGTCATTTAACTTTCTTTCTTTTGAAGTATTAGTAAGCAAGTTTCCAAGGTGGAAAAATTCGGAGGCTAAATTGCTCTCTTCTCTGACATGCCAATAGAATCTTGATAATGCTCTGAGGTTTCAACACCTGAGAAAAATCTGGCTAGATTCATGTAGGGATAGTAATTAAACCTTGGTAATCTTTTACATGACTATCTATATAAGAGAGAAATAACTCAAGAATGTTAGATATGAAGCTTAAGTGATAAGAAGTGTATGTTAGTGAAAAAAAAAGAGTAATTTGGAAAAAGAGGATGAGAATGGCGACATGACTTAAATAGTGCAGTTAATGCCACTGAATTGTGCACATAAATATCATTGCCTTGTGAATGTTCTGCTGTGTAAATTTTTAACAATAATAAAATTGATTTTAAAGAACTTATGAAGGATTAGGACATGAGACTTTTAAGCGTGGTATACAAACATTATCACTGAATAGAAACTGTCTAAAGAGAGAAATGATGATACATTAATACCAAAATTAAAGACTAAAAAGCAATGATGTAGGCGAGCTCTGGTGACCTAGTGACAAGAAGCTACACTACAGTCTAAGAGATGCATGGTTCAAATCCACCAGATGCTCTGCTGAAGAAGGAGGGAAAATCTCTTCCTGTATGTCAGATCTGGTTTGACCACACACACACAA